CTCGTCGGCGAGAGTCTACAAACTATCAACAAGGACAGCTTGTACTGACCGAGAGAGAGAGTACATTTAGCACAATTTAACATTTTTTAAATAGTTTATATGAAATAGCTGCTTTGTCTTACACTTTATGTTAAAAATAAAAACAGATTCGGAAAGTGGGTAAAATTCTGTAGTGCCCTATTTCAAAAAAAAAAAAATTTTACGTTTATTTTAACCAAAAATATTTAAAAAAAAAATATTGTTTAAACAATTTATTAATTTACAATCAAATAGTGCACTAGAACTTTTTAAGACCTTTCATATAAAAAAAGAATCATCTCAATATCTGCCATAGTTTTTGCGTTATTTGATATAAACTTTTACATTGGAATTTAGTTATGCCCAGAATCGCGAGGAATGGCCTTCATATTGCTTATATTTCAGATATTCTGTGATCGTCTTTTCAGATTTATACTATGAATCTGTCATTATTTTTAAAGATAATTTAAAATGTAATTGTGCTATTTGTATGTTAGGCTAAAATTATTGATTTACATTAAAATAACCCTGTTAAAAACAACAGAAAAATACCTTGAAATAAAGAAAAAAATAATTAAAGTTTTAATAAAACATAATAATTATAACCTTAAAATATGAACTGTAACAGTAAATATAAAGTTCTATCCTGTAAAATTATACTTTTTGTGATAACACGTTGTTCTGGTAAATGAGTGATATATTATAATAAAAACCCTGGATACTGTGTGTGAAAAATACCAAAAAAAATTAGGTTGAAAAAAATTGAATTTCAAAGTTCATAATCGGTATACGTAAAAAAATGTATTTTCTCGACTTCCAATGGGGCAATTTTCTTCTTTCTTTAAATCCGATGTAACTCGAATAGACACCTAAATAACGCATTACAGTAATGAATCAGTAGTGGTCACTGAATCAGTAGTTGTCACTCTCACGAAAATAAGGTGAAATTACTGGTAGGCAACCATTATTACATTGAGATTTCATAATATATGAAGAGCTGACAACATCTAGATGCCACTATATTGCCATTATAGGCGAGTTTGAAGTTTCTCTGGGCAATATTTTCAATATGGCGTTTTAATGTTTGCGTGTATCTCACGTTTTAAAGAATATGCTTATATTTTCTTAGCGGAAATGTTAAGAAAGGTAATTTTTAATTTTGGCTGTAATACAATATATATATAGTAATTTATAATACAGTTTCAAGTTAGAGCCTTTAATGAAGAATTTTATAAAAATATTAACAGGTCTGAAATGTTGAGGTTATTTTTTTGCTAAAACTACGGATGATATCTACTGATTATGACGATATGGTAAAAATCAGTTATGGTCATTTGGTGGTACATCACTGTAACTAATGCCTCTTTTTATAATGCTTAACCTATTTTCTGCATTAATAGTTACTTACGAATGCGTGTCTCTACAGTGTTTTATATTGTGCCGCTAAAATATAATATCATTGTTTCAGGAAAGAAAGAAATAAAATTATGCCTCAACGACGCAAATTATTTAATTACGAAGAATGGCAGATGGACAGGGCCTTAGAAGATATTTCTCGTGGGGTTCCAGTTGCTACTGCTACAAGAAATCATAACGTTCCAAGAATGACACTGTCTAATAAGTCAAAAGGCAAGTCTCCAAAGATACGTCGAATGGACCCAGAAACAATTTTATCTCAGCAAGAGGAATCTATTTTGGTTAAATGAATTCGGAAAATAAGCCATATCGGTTTGAAGAAGTTTTATTATTCTAGTTTGAAGAAGTTTGTTTTATTGTTTAAAGGAATCAAAAACTGGTTTGAAGAAGTTTTATTGTTCTTCAAAGAAAGTGGTAATTTTGATATCTTACTAGACCCAAGCCGAGTCTGTAATGGAGACGAGTCAGCTTTTTTCCTGAACCTCAAAGGTAGTAAAGTACTAGCAAGCAGAAGGCAAAAAAACGTATATCAACGGGTGAATTCGGATGAAAAAGAATGCTTAACTGTATTGGTTACAGCAAGTGCAGGAGGAAAAGTAGCACCTCCAGGTCTTTAAGTATGACAGGGTACCGCGTGATATTGCGAATAGTGTTCCTGAAAGGTGGGGAATCGGTAAATCCGACTCAGGATGGATGAATGGTCCAAATTTGTATGAATATATAACTAATCTATTTCACCCATGGTTAATTTAAGAGAAGATTTTGCCAGTAATTATTTTCAGCGATGGTCACGTCTCTCATCTAACTTACCATACAAGCAAGTTTTGTGATGAAAACGGTATAATTTTGATCGCATTATATCCGAATGCTATCCAACTCTTACAACCGATGGATGTCGCAGTATTTAGAACACTCAAGGAAGGGTGGAAGCAAAAGGTGCACCAGTGGCGAAATGAACACCTCGAGAATCCAGTTTTACGGAAAAGAGACTTTTGTCCTTTACCTGAACAGGTCCTTCAAGAAAGAAATGTTAAAAAATGGATTTCGAAGATGTGGTCTTTTACCGTAGAATTTGAGGCTATTCAATTTCCAAAAGAAAAAACTGAGATATTACCAATTCTTGAAGTTCACCATTCTGATAAAACTAAACAAGAATTCAAAGATGGCTTGGCCTTTTTAGAGAAACATCTTGACGCAAAGTTGATAATTGATTTTAACGAAAGCAATGGACAGGAGAAAATAAATGTCTAGCACTGACTAGAAAGCAGGGAAGAAAGTAACGTATCGGTAATTTCCGACGCCCCTGCAGCAACATCACAAAATCCTGAACCTGAGGACCTCGAAACAGCAACCACTCTTTTAATTGATATTTCTGTACATGAGCCGCATCCAAGGCCTTCAAATATTAATCGGGTGTCTACAGTTGCCATTGCAGATCTATGTACTCCAACCGACAAGCTCATAAGGAATATAAATAGCTCACCAATTGAAAAGTCTGGTGTTCAGCGTGATAAAGTTGAAGTTGTTAAAAAGAAATTAATCATATATGGTCAGACAATCCCAACTCCTCCCAAATAGGCATTGCATTGGGTTGAAATAAAGGATACAGGAAATAAAAGACGAAAAAAAGAAAATATTCCATTTGTTGCATCATCTAAACAGTGGCAATACCATCTAAGAAAAGAAAAGGAAAAATTGGAACTAGAAAGAATAAAAAGATTTAGAGCTGAACAAAGAGCAAAGGTGAAAGAAGAGAAAGAAAAAGCAAAACTGCAAGAAAAAGAAAATAAAATGGTTTAAAGAGAACCAAAAAGAAGGGTCAGAAATAATGATCTGACTCTGAAACTGAGGAAGAGTGCGTCGAATCTGGTAGTAGTATATTCGCTCTGTGCGTGACTAACGCGACAACGAAATTGACAATTATTAATAAATTAGTTTTTTAACTATATTTTAAAGTTTATGTACAAAATAAATGTAGTATTAAAAACTGGGTTTCTCAAAATTCATCATAATATACCTTTTCAACTCCAAACGGAAAAGAAAGGAAAAAATGTAGTACTGGTAAATCAAGTTTTTCACGCAAAAGAGCATATAATTAAAAACAATAATAGTAAAAGTTATGATATAAAAGCTAAAGTCATCTGCAGTTAGCTTGAAGCCTTATGAAATATCATTCAAGGTAAATTATTTAAATTTTTCCTATTTCAATTGCATAAAAATGAAATTATGTGATATTTACTTTTTCATATTAATAGCACGAATTCATCGTTTTCTTTTCTCTAATTTATATGTAATCTTTGGAAACCTATGAAAACTACACTCACCATTATTGCTATTATTAGCACAATTAAATACGCAACATGTATTTGCACGCATTTTTGATAAAATTTATGCGTAAAATATTTTGTCCAATATTCCAATTTTGTCATATTTCGCCGCTACGCACGCTGACATCGTTTCAATGTACCCCTACCATGGTCACGCACGGAGCGAATAGATGATATAGTAAGTGACATTGAGGGGTACATGGAAAAAGAAACTATACTGGAAGAAAATGATGTTGAGAGTGACTTGAACCAGTGGATATATAAGAAGGGAGATTTCGTGTTAGTACAATTTCCTGGTAAGAAGAAGTTTTATAAATATGCGTGTATAATACAGGACATTTATGAAAAAATGAGTATGAAGTGGTTGCGATGAACTGTTGCAATGACCTAAAAACATTGTTTAAATTGAATGAAAAAGATGTTAGTGTAATTAATTTAAATCAAATTATAAGTCGTCTTTCTACTCATACTCTACATACTTTAGGAGACAGAGTTCGGTATGAATTCAAAACTCTCATAGGTGTAGATGGCTAAATGTGGCTAAAGTACGTTTGTGACCATCACTGATTTTTTGCATAATTATACCTAAGATTTTTTTTATGTTTCTTATTTTTAAAACTTCAAGACTGAAAAAATTAATTGTAAATAATACTCATCTCAAGCGTTTGAGTATACATTTTACATCTTAATGTAAATTATAACTTAAAGTAGGCGCCAAAAATATATTTTTGTTTTATTTCCATCATTAAGAGTGACCACTACTGATTCATTACCTTATCAAATCCCAAAAGTGTTCACATCGTAAGCAATTTGCATAAATAGTTAAAGCTTATAATTTTCTCTCAGAACCAAATAAAGTGTAGCTACGAAAAATTAGTGAAACAAAAACAAGAAACGTGTAAGAAGTTACTATTTGATATATTTATATGTTATGTGAAAACCATAACCTACAAATCAGACAACTTGAAAATGTATTAAAATGTTTAATGAATTAAAAGTTAATTAATTTTGAAATATATAATTAAAAAAACTGGTTTCCAGGTAAATTTTCTGTAGTGATACTTTATTCGATAACTTATAATGCACGTGTTCACGAAAGTTTAATATTTGTTTTTTGTTTTACTTTCACATCCGGAACAAAATGAGTACTTGTACAATAATGGTCCATCCCCATATGCAACGGAATGTCCAAAAATACATTCTTACATCTAATATAAATATATAAACTTATATCACTGTTCAACTCGTAACACAAAGATGTAAAAAGTTGTCTGGGTAACTTAAATGTTCCGACAGCCACTGTAGAGGAGTATCTGAAGGAGGAATGAGTCCATGTGTCTTTACTTTTACTGGAACAACAAAAATATGTATTAAGAGCAATGCTTAAATTGTTAAAATTCTTCAAAAAATATTTGGAAAATATACACTTTCACTCAAAAGAATAATATACTTAAGAAATCATAATTTTGTTTCATTGTCACAAATTTTTTGAGTATACTAGCCCTTTTCCCATATCAGTTGCCCACCTATGAAATTTGCAGTTTAAGTCGATTACCATCAACAAATTATTTGCAATATTGCAGTAATTTGCCAACACCAACAAAAGAAATTTTCGGTATGACTCGTGTATGTTCGTTAAGCGTATTTTTTATGCTTGACACCGTTGTCGGTTTTTCAATATTTCGATTTTTTTATATAATTTTTTTACATTAAACATTTTGACTTTAACAGCTAAAACCATTGTATTTGCAATCATTATAAACACAATAGATGTTGCGACACCTCACAAAATATATATTTTTACATTGGTGTAGAGACAACCAATCATTTTGGCATCACTATGTTAGACACAGTAATAAATACTGGTTCAATGAGTTTGGCAAAATGACATAAACTATGTACTTATTGGTTTTAAAATCGTTGGCGCTAGCAGGAGGTAAGTAATATTTTTATTTACATATATATTTTTTTTATTTCGTCATGGTTCCATTAAAAAAAGTCTTATATTTAGTGACTATAATATGCTTGTTTATTTTGATAATCATATAAATCATATAGAATGTGTGCTTAGGCTTTGTTGAAAATACAGCATCAAAAATGTTTAAAATTTGTTATTTTTCAAGCACCAAATATTTTATTAAAAACTAATTAAAAAAATTGGTTAAAATGGGTTATTAACTTCAAATGTTATGGGAGTGTTTCCAATTTAAATGCGACACACTGTAGGGGAGAAGAGGGAGACTTGATCCCACCGTTACATTTTTTCAGATAGCTCCTTTTACAACCAATCTATACCTTATTCCATTAAGCGATGCAGGGCATATAAACAACGATAAATTTAACAGATATTTGTTAAAGGTGTTCCAAATGAGTCTACTCGTTCCGATAAGTAACAGTATAATTATGACACTTTATTATTTTTTTTTCTTTTCTCAAATATTCGTGTTTATTGCATAGTAAATAAATTAATGTTTTCACTGAATACATAGTAAGTGAAAAAATAATCCGATTTATGAAATTAATGAATATTTTATGCATAAATGCAAGTAACAGTTCTTCAAAAATATTTAAAAACTAACCGAAATGTCCATCTTTATTTCGTCTGGCGACGTTATCGGCGGGTCATACCGGTTCGGACACGATTTAATGTTTACATTTTCCTGCATCGCTTATTGAATTTTACTATAGAACCTTGATAATTTAGTGGAACATTACAAATTTATCACAGTTTTGGGTATTGTACACCCGAAAAATATACTGCTAATAAAAAACGAGTTTTTGTAGAATTTCGTAACATGGAGAAACTAATCATGTCTCCCCGTACTCCGGGAGACTTGATCCTTGTGTATGGAAGACTTGATTATAGCTTTCCAGATTTACGATATTAAAATAAAACCAAAAATTGGATGCTGAAAACTAACTTTACTCAGTCATGACTAACAAATAATGTTATTAAAAATATATAACACTTTCTGGCAAAAAACTATACTGAAAAATGATAAAAGAAAAAAAATTATTCTCGAATATTGAACATCCTTAGTGATTTGGGAAAGACAAAACATCCTATGCGCTTACTGTACAGTTATATTCAAAGAAAAAGGGTACAAGTATTAGAAAGGGAAGTTAACGTCATCCTATTTGTGTAAAACCGGCTGGGATTTTTGGAGGTTATCAAATGTGATAAGTGATCAAAAATGCAACTCATAGACGTCAAAGAGGTTTAATTTGATAGAAGGTTTAACGTTACGTACAATAAAAAATTAATATGCCTCGTCATTTAAGTGAGATTGAAAAGGCTCAAATAATTATAAAAATGAAAGAAGGATGGTCAATTCGTGCGCTAGCAAATTTCTATAATAGAAATTTGAAACCAATCTTCAGAATTATGTAACGATGGGTCCAACAACAATCATTAAAAAGAAAAGTTGGTTCAGGGCGTTCCAAAGTATCCACTCCTCAACAAGATGCTGCTTTAGTTCAATTCTTAAAAGATAATTCATTTTCGACGTCGAAGGATTCAAGGATTCATACGGGATTTCGTGGTGCCCAACCTACTGTAAGCAGAAGGATCATTGAATCTGAATTATAAAACCGACCAGCTGCTAAAAAACCATTAGTAACTGTTGAACATTGGCAAGCAAGAGTAATATTTGTACTAAACTATATTTACCGCAACCCACAATTTTGGAACAACGTCATTTTTACTGATGAAAAGACTTTTAAATCGACCTATAACGGTCAAGTCCGTGTTTATCGTCCAGCCAATACTAGGTTTGAAGAACGATATATTCACTTTCATAATAAATCTGGACGTTTTTCTGTAAATGTATGGGGTTGGATTAGTATACATGGACCTGGTGTTTGTTGGGGATTAGAGGGAAGATTTACTGCCGACAACTACATTAACGTTTTGGAACACATAATGCTCCATTCTATTGAGCAATTGTATCCTAATAATACTTTTATATATCAACAAGATAATTGTTCAGTCCACACTGCCGATGATGTAAGGAATTGGTTTCAAACGCAAAACCTGGAAGTATTACCATGGCCTGCACACAGTCCAGATATAAATCCAATTGAAAACATTTGGGGCATAATTGTTAAAAAAATATATAAAAGAAATTTTATGCCACAAAATTCAGATCAATTGTGGGATACAAACTCAGAGTGCTGGGAAGATCTTGATCCAAATATGATATCTAATATAATTCAAAGTATGCCAAATAGACTAAACAAAGTTATAGAAGCAGACGGTTCTATCACCAAATACTAAATTCTATTTGTAACAGTCATTAAAATTATTCTTTATATAATTGTTGAAAAAATGGTTTCGTCTAATTATTGCTCAACGCCAATGATTTATATTTTTAATATCCTGTGACATTTGATAACCTCCAAAAATCCCAGCCGGTTTTACACAAATACGATGACGTTAACTTCTCTTTCTAATACTTGTACCCTTTTTTTTTAATATAACTGTAGCTCCTAAAAGTCGGGCGTGGTAACTTTTTAAAAATTTGGTCACGTGGGACTTCACCCATGTCTTCTTTTTCTGGCCACTTAAAGGTTTTTTCATCCCTTTTTTGGTCAAATTTGATTTTAAAATCTTCGTTCTTTTTTTTCCATTATCTGTCCTACGTATCGATGGACTAAGTTTCTTTCGGATACAAAGCTGACAATTACCCAATCTTGCACACTCAACTCAAACTCGTCACCTTCTGCTTCCGATTCACATTCACTATCTGTCTCTACTTGCATTTCATCATTAGGATCATATTCAGACTCTGACGATGGTAGTATAATGTCACTGCCCCCCGAACTTGAAGATTCCATCAAATCCTTAAGTTTTTGTTTAGTTATTCTTTTTAGGGCTCTAGGGATCATGCGATATTGTCAAAGTTTTCGAGGAAAAACCAAAAAAGGCGGTATATGATTTCCAATTGCGTTGATTGCACCACAAAGAGTTACTGTTAGTCCACGTTCCCCTGACGTAATTTTACCAAACTGTTTTGCACCTTTGCATGCAATAATTTTCTTTGGCTTATGGACAGTTGAAAGGCCAGTTTCGTCTATGCTCCAAATTGCTTCTGGTCCAATTCCATTGCTTTCAAGAACTGTCTTTAAACTTATGAAAAATTTTGATACATTGTTTCTGTTGAAGCTAGTTGCTCTAGTAAGACTGGTTGCTTCCGGAGATCGTAGTGATAAGGTCTTCATCCTCTTCAGAAATCCGTATAATCAGTCGTAACTGGCTTGCTTATGTTTATTCCACGAAGCAGGTATTTTTTTATTATTTCTTACGGCAAACTCGTATGCTAGTTCTTTTGCTTGTTTGGTTGTAAGGCCATGGTGTAATTTGCTGGCAACATCTAAATAATCTTTAAACATATTTTCCTCTGCATTTGTAAAAATTTGAGCCTTCTTGTAATCAGGATAATAGGTTATTTCAACATTTTCAGATCGTTGTCGGCGAACGTATCTTTTTAATGTCATAACATTTATTTGATAACGACTTGCCGTTCCCTTGAGAGACGTTCCGTTATTAATAACGTCTAATACAGCTTCTTTTAACTTCTGGCTGTCGACTGGTGTTCTTTTCTTTGCTCCTTCCCTCCTTTTGTATTGACGTGGCATATCTATAAAATAAAAAACACTCATCTATAAGGAGTTTCTGGGAGACTTGATCCCGGGATCACATCTCCCAGATAAGATGTAATCAAGTCTCCCCCAAGACGCCATTTGAATATTTTTGTCTATAAAAATATGACGACAAACTAGAACTCATTGCAAAATGTGCAAAACGTAAACTGAATGATTATAGTGTTAAATAAAAATTATACGAAAAACTCACCTTAACGAATATTAAAGAAAATCAACTTGAAATAATTCTGAAAACACTTCTCGGTAGGGACAAAAAACTTGTAATAAACACGTGCTTTTCGTTGTGGATTCTAATACACACTAAATTAAATGGGATCTTCAGACATACTAACAGCTACGCTTTGTTGCCGATTTTAAAATTTTAGGCTACTTATTTACTGAAATTTTAAAGAGTGATCAAGTCTCCCTCTTCTCCCCTATATAGTAGTAACTTAGTAGAATAGTTATACAGTATACTCTCTCTATAACGAACAAGGTTATTACGAGGTTTCGAGGTGTTATAATGAGGTACATTAGATGTCCCGTGAAACTTCTATTGAACTATATCCCTCTATAGCGAGGCAAATTTGGTTATAACGAGTGAAAATAAGATCGAAAAACGTGTCTTTTTACGTTTGTTGACCCGGACGTGGCTATAAATAAATACCCTTTTTAACTGACACAATAAACTTCTTTGAAAATTTACAATTTATGATTCACAAGTGTTATTGTAGGGGTTTATTTATTTATTTTTATTTATTTATTCATTCCAACGGTAGAACCATTTACAATAAAATACAACAAATAGTAAAAAGTAAAGATCATGTACAATAAACATCAAAACAATAACAAAAAAACAAGAAAACAATTAAAATTTGTACATTAAAACAATATATCATATCACACAAATTTTAAAAAAGTATCAGTATACCATTCGCACCTAATAATAAGAAGGTCCTAATAGACAAGATGTGGAAAGCGCTTTAAACATTGTAAGAAACTTTGTCCAAAGACAAATTGCAAATGAAGAAGCATACAACTTTTTCACATCTTTAAAAAATATAGAAAAATACTGGATAATTTAAAGCAGTCAAAAAAGACAGACTTCTTCCAATTGCAGAAGTTTATGTTATCCTTGATAATATGTTTTATACAGATGATTTGTTTTAATGTATATCATTGACAATAAAAGTAAACAACTCTTTTTTGTTTTAATTGACAATTGACAAGTAAATAACTTTTTTTCAAAAACGCCATTCAAACAATATTTAGCATCTTATATTGCACTAAATGGCTTCATTATAGGAAGTTAATGTTTTAGAAAACTACACATTCATATGTACAAATTATTGTTGTTCGATATAACGAGATCAGCTTATAACAAGGTAATTAGTCTGCCATTTCAGTCCTCATTATAGAGGGAGTCAACTGTATATAGAATAGTTGATTTACACAATAACTTCTGTCTTTTTATTTATGCTATGATCAAATATTTAACACTATATACCTTATTAAAGCTAAAATTATTACTTACCATTGCCATTTTCTGGAAATATTTCATTAACTAGGTCTTGTAAAGTCTTTTTAGCACCACCATCTGTAACAGGCTTTACCAGTTTTTGTTTATATCCACTGTCCATATAGCACCTGAACGGAATATATTTAAAATGATCTTGATCATTTGTAGTTTCCATTAGTTTCCTATTTACAGCCCAAAATTGATCAAATTTGTCTAAAAAAAATTTAACTTATTGTTTAAAAAAATATTTAAATAATATTTATAGTGAAAATGAAAACTACTGAATAAAAAAATAGAAAGAAAATAACGACAGATGATGCAATTGTCAATTTATATTATGCCGCCGATATATACACAAACTTTCTCATAAATAAAATATGCAAAAAGTAAACCAAAAAAATTAACACGACTCATGAATCACCTAGAACAAAATTGGCTGGAAATACACTATTTATTTTTAGATTAGGTTTGTAAGAAATAAAAAATTAGAAGTGCTAGTCTTGGACTTCAAACCTATTTCAGAAAGAATATTTATATTAAGAATTGGTGAAAAGTGTCAAAAACCATCAGTTTTTAGCTTTCATATCGTGGGCTATGGACTGAACGCAATGATCAGTACAGAGGATCAGGTGGAGGTATGGAAAAATAAAAACTACAGAAATGCAATGAAACGTACGATCGGGTGACCACACACTATGTGGAGTAGTAAACACAGTTCTATGCATATTTCTTAATAAAATAAATAAAATAAAATGAAATACAATACAATAAAACAATAAAATACAATAAAAATAAAATAAATAAGTAAATTAAAAACCATTGCTCCATGCATAGATGATAATAAACCTATGCTTCCTCTCCTCAGTCACTCCTGGAGATTTTTTTAATATAAACAGCATCTGAAGAAAAAGTATAGAAACAAACGAAGATTTTATAATCATCAGTGTGTTAACAACCATACTATAATTACATTGCTTTCGACTATGTACCATCATGCCTTTACAATAATTCTTAAATCTACTATAATTTTCATAAACCATATTTTTATGATAGAATTAATTTCTAATAAAATAATTCTATTAACCCGCCATTACACGCGCTATGAGGGAATACCTCACCATATTTATTTATAAGCAATGAAATTGTCTTGGCTAATATGATAACCTTGAGCACTGAGGAATGCCTTTATCATCATTCATGAGAGGGTATGAGAAAGTTTTAGAATATTTCATGTGGTCAGTGTGCTGTGATACTAGAAAGAAGTGATATCCCTCTTTAGGTGAGCGTATTCCTCACTGCGCGTGCAATCACGTTGAAATCACGTTTCTGTTAGCTCAAAGAAACTTTTAGGTTTTTGTTTAATATTTGGATAAGTTTAATTAAAATATTATTGTTTAGGTTAATTGTTAATTTTAATTTGAATTTCTAGTAAAATGGATTCGCGTAAAGAACGTCAATTACTTCAGTGGCTTGCTGAAATTGAAAATGAAGAAAACAGTGAAAGTTTGGAAAACCTCGGAAATGTCGGCGAGTTCTGAAGATGAGGGGGACTATATTCCCCCTCAACAAACACAAATTTAGACGAAATTAAAGCACTTTTTGGACTACTTTACTTTGCTGGAACCTGGCAAAGTGCTCATGTAAGTGTGGATGACTTATGGATGGGTCAGTAATATTCAGAATAACAATGGGAAAATTCGGTTTTGTCTTCTACTAAGGGCACTTTGATTTGATGATTTTAGCAGCGGAGAAGAGCATAGGAAAACAGACAAACTAGCGCCGATACGAGAAGTATTTTACTGTTTTGTGAAAAAATGTAAGGCTAATTATGAAATAGGACGGTATGCTACAGATAATGAAATGCTGGAAGTCTCTCTTGGGAAATGTGCATTTAGGCAATATATTCCTAGTAAGCCAGCGAAGTATGGCATTAAAATTTATTCACTGGCTGATGTGGAAAACTGGCACACTAGTAACTTAGAGGTGTATGTAGGTAAGCAGCCAAATGGCCCATTTCAGTAAGATAATAGTTCGACAGCACTTGTGAAACATTTGTTAAAACCTATTCCTAATACAGGTCGTAATATTACATGCGACAATTTCTTCACTTCAGTCCCACTGGCTATAGACCTACTAAATAATATGCGGGCTACATTAGTGGGAACTCTAAGAAAAAACAAGCGTGAAATACCAACAATTTTTCTTGCTACGAAAGAAAGGAACGAAAATATGTCTATGTTTGCTTTTGGCAAAGAATGCTTACTTACATCCTATATACCAAAGAAAAATAAAAATGTTTTAGTTTTGTCGACTTTTCACGATCAAGATATTATCGACCATAAAACAGGTAGCCTGAAGTGAACATTTTACAACCAAATCTAGTGTAGATATGGTCGACAAATTAAAATCTTTATATTCAGTTTCAAGAATAAGTTGTAGATGGCCGCTTACAATTTTCTTCAGCCTTTTAAATATTGGTGGCATAAACTGTCATATTATTTACTATGAAAATACTAGTGTTGAATTACCTTGACGTAAATTTTTAAAAAATCTGGCGTTAGAACTGATTAGACCACATCAAATGTTATGAATGAACATAAGAACTCTCCCTGTATTGTTACGAATGCAAATAAGGGACCATTTGGGAATTCGAGATGAAGCAGAGCCTGTAGAAATGGAACAAGTAAGTAAGTAAGTAAGTCTAGTAAATGTGCATACTGTCCTAAAAAGAAGAACCGAAAAACTCAGACAAACTGCTGCAAGCCAAATTGTAGAAGACGGATTTGTAAGGAACACACAAAAACTTTGTGTAATTCCTGTTGGGAAATAGAAGAGGAAGAATCTTAGTGGATGCATTTATTATTTTTAGATGTGTGCAATATTTTTAAAACTTTCTATTTGTGTAGTGATTATCTCTTTTGTCTATTAACATATTGTATTTGACATTTTTATACTTTTGATCTATATTATTTTATCACATTTGTTTTGTTAAATTAATAAAAAAAATTGATTTATGGGATTTTCTATAATATGTGAGTATAAACCATTTTATTTTTATACATGTTGAAATTCATTCTTCCTCGAAACAATTCGAATTGATGTAGGTGAGGGCGACACTCAAATGCGTGCAACCATGTCACAATCGAAGACATGTGTAATGGCGGGTTAAGAAAATGAAATAATGACATCACTGAAATTATGGAATTCAATAGTTCAGGATGTCATATTTATTTGTAAGAGTGATTCATAATGTGATATGAAATAATGAACTATATATTTAATATTCTGTGTTTATGTGCACAAGAACTATTGATTTCTTATGGATTTACTTACCGTTCTGCAATCCCAACCATAACTGATTGTGGTCTTTTTTCTGCATACTACCTGCAATTTGTCCTCTATGTTTTAGTACATCAGCTTCTTTTAAACAAGACATGAAATAAGCCTCTACCATATCTCTAAAAATAATAAATCAATATTAATATTGATTTAGGTTCTACATTATAAATACAGTGATATTTATATAAGAAAATTCCGTTAAGTCCTAGAAAAATATATGTACTAAATATTATAGATATCTTACTTATTACTAAATCTAAAAATCTCAGCTTCAGGAAACTTATCAAAATGCACAATTATATTCCAAGGCAGAATCTCGTCTTTGTCAAATGAAAGATCAAACAATACCCCAATTGGATAATGCCATTTTAAAGGTTGTCCATTGTATTCAAGCCACATTTCTTGCTCTGACTTCTCACAGTCTACATATTTGAGAAAGTGTCTTTTTATTTTGTCTGTTACTAAAGGAAAATAACTGAGTCTGGGAACCATCAAATAAAATGGGTCTGGTTCGCGAACATCTGCTACTTCTTCACTGTCTAAACGAAAACAAATCGGCAGTTTGCCTTCCCAAATTTCACGAAGAATTTCCCTATCGTTCGCCATTATTTTCTTTGACAACAGATTATAAAATAAAAATAAGGTTCGGGAAAACGTAAAACTACCACTCTTCTTCACTCTCGAGATAATTACAAAATCAATAATGTAGTGGTTATATAGCTATTTATTCCGTGTTACTGGAAATAAAAGTCATCACTTGTAAAGCAGATTAAATCAAAGGGACAAAAAGGGGATATTTTTGAAGGGCTATGTGCTATCAAATATTCTTTGGTGCTATGGCACTATGGTAATTGGTAATCTCTTGGCGAGATAATCTTTTCTGTCTGTTGTTATGCTCTCTCTTCTTGATTTGAACATATTACGGTCCTTACGGCTAAACGTTGTTCGGTGGCTAAACTATGTACAGTTTAGTTTAATTATTAAAAGAATATCGATCATATAGAAATATTATTGTGGCTAAAATGAAACTGGGCCGTTAAAAACGGGGTTGTTGAAAACGGGGACCTGACAATAATAAAAGGCGCCAACCTTGACTATAAACAGAATGCGCCACACACCCTCTCTTAGCTATTTAAATCAAACTTTTGTAAACGTCTTTATCCCAGAATGCTAAAGATGGAATTTTTTAGGCATGCCTAACAGAAAAAAGGCTTCTTCATGATTTTTGTTTCGCCACCAAAAAATCTTTAAAAAGTAGAAAAAAATTAATAAAAAAACGAAAATTACAACACAAACAGTTGTTACACTAAAACTTGTTTTAGCCACCCTTACATTTGCCATATACTCGACAATCTCTACTCTACTGATTATTTATAATTATTCCAACCCTGTAGAAGGGTAGTTGTTCCCGCCTATGATCTTTCCAAATTTAAATAATAATAGCTATAGCTAACTTCTGGGCTATCAATAAACACATGTGTGTATAACATAACCTTAAAAAATGTTAATACATACATACCAAAGAATATAGATAAGCGTCTATATTCTTTGTACATACATAATTTTTTACTATTTGTTTATTTCTGTATAGAAAATGATCTTTAAGTTTTATTGAAATGTCTGGAAGTAAAGTGTTTTTACCTAGTCGAGGTTTAGGATATGTCAGTAACCACATACCTTTACAAGTGAGGTATATTAAAAGTAGACAAGAAAATCTAATAATAACATGTGTTGGAAAATCATTCCATACCTATGGAATATCCCATTTTGGTCTACTGAGTGTAAGTGGTTTGCATCACAATGATATAAGCTGTATGACTGCAGACGCGTATCATGTATATACAGCTGTAGACAATGTTATATATGCATGGAGAAGAGGTACAGAACTAAAACACACATATAAGGGCCACAAGAAAAAAGTGCGCCTAATGATACCTTTCGGTGCTCATTTAATATCTGTGGATGAGTCTAATAATGTAAAAATATGGGATATTAAAGCTGAAACTGTATATTTAGAACTTTTGTTTAGTTTAGAAAGTTTTAATATCAGTGCAATTCTTCATCCCAGTACATATATCAATAAAATATTGCTAGCTAGTGATACAGGCGGGATGCAGTTATGGAATATCAATAATGCAAAAATAATATATACATTTAGTAGCTGGAAAGCTGGTGTAAGTTGTCTTGCCCAAGCACCTGCAATTGATGTTGTGGCAGTAGGTTTGGTAAATGGTAAGTTTTTGATATAGTATGATAATGATACTGAAAATAATCCTGGACAAATTAAATAATTATTATCCAATATTTGTTTCATTTGTTTTACTCTATAGATTTATTTAAGTCTAGTTACTTAACTATTTTGAACATTTTAATTTCTAAAGATGCTGTAGGTCTCATTCAGTGTTTACGAGAATCCAAACACAATAAGGTTCTTAACACACATGTAAACCAGAAGAGGTATAGGAAATTTTTATATCAGTTATTTAGCACTCTTACACCAATTGCTATATTTCATAACACAATATCATATTTTCTGTACTTAACCATTGAGTGTTCCTATCAATTTTAATTTAATCAAATTTCTGAGATATAAGTCATGGTGAAACCAGGGTCTACATATTTTTAATATAATTTTTTTTATTTCCTGATACTTAATTCATGAAATTATGGTTTCATGCTAATTTTGTTTTGAATACATTTGTAAGAGTCCTTTACTCACTAGATTTAAATGCCTCAGTTAAATTTTAAATGTTCCCCATTCTGTATCATCTTCCTTTATTCATCCCGTTTATGACTTCATCCATGATTAAATGGAATGGCATAGAGCTTAGTGATTCCCCCTGTCTTATTCATCATTGCCTGTATCTATAGGTTCTGTAAGTTGTCCATCTATTCTGACTTCAATCTTATTGCTTTGATAGATGTTTTTAATTGTTTTTATAATATCCAGTGTGATCTTGTTATTATACAAGAGATGTATTACATATTTAAGTCTTACGCTGTGAAATGCCTTCTTTAGGTCAATCAAATATAGGAAGGTGGGTTTACTGCATTCTGATATTTTCTGTGTAATCTGTTTTATGACGAATATTGCATCTGTACACAAACTTCCCATATAACCCAACCTTATTACTCAGCTGCTAAACTTATAAGCTGATTTATTCATTCTTGTAAAATTTTAGTTATAAGTTTCAGTAGTACATATTTAGCAAATTGATACTTCTGTAGGTTTCTGATTGTTTATTATCACCCTTTTCAATAGGATTAGCTCGCTTGTCCTCCATTCTTGTAGTATTTTATTTTGTCTTATAATCTTGTCAATTAATGTTGTCAGTTGATCCGTCACTGCCAAGTAGTTTCCCATCTATAATTCAGGTGGATAGTTTAAATTTGTCTAATTTTAGGTAGAATAATTCTTCATAATTTAAAATATGATGAAAATATTATGGAATTCACCCAAGACTGGGGCACAGTTACTTCAATATCATTCAGGACAGATGGCAATCCTATCATGGCCACTGGAAGTACATGTGGACATATTGTATTTTGGGATTTAGAAGAAAGAAAAGTGTCTACTCAGCTACTAGCTGCTCATGATGGAGCTGTCACAGGAATGGTGTGTCTTTCCAATGAACCCTTAGTTATTACTTCCTCTCCAGATAATACACTGAAGCTGTGGATTTTTGATATGACTGATGGTGGAGCAAGATTACTCAGAATCAGAGAAGGTAATTTCTGTAATTTAGATTATAATGGAGAGTTTTGTGTAATATTTTTGAAATATTGGAAATAGGTAGAATTAATATGTTTGAATTAAGTTGATAATTTACTGTCATTAAATTTGGCTTAACAGTTTCTTTCAAAATTGGGCCGCCAATCGGTGTCCCTCTTCAACATTCTTGAAGAAACCAGATCTACAAAGCTTCATTGACAAACTTACAAAAAGCTTCATTAACTGATGTTTTCGAACTTCTCTTGGTTTTCCTTCTGTATATTCTCTATTCTATTTTACTATGATTTTCATAATTGGGCATGCTTGCCACATCAAATTATTACAAATTCCATTAATTTTTAGGTCATTCATCTGCACCATCTCTCATTAGATTCCATGGTGCTAATGGTCACAACATTTTGAGCTGTGCCGGAGATTCAACTTTGAGAATATTCAATACCCAAACTGAGCAGTTCAACAAAAGTCTAGGTAAGGCTTCCTACAATAGAAAAATTAGCAAGAAACGAGGAAGAGCTGTAGAAGATCCCTTAAAAATGCCTCCGATAATTCAGTTCACTTCTGAGACTACAAGAGAAAAAGAATGGGATAATATTGCAGCTATACATTCGAATATTGCCTTGGTGACCACTTGGTCCTATGATAAAATTAGAATGGGCCAACTGAAACTATTACCAGAACGGTTTCAGAAAAAGAATAAAGATGTCAATCTAGAAGTGGCAGCAAGTTCCTTGTGTTTGTCACATTGTGGGAATTTCGTCATTGTTGGTTACAGCACAGGACATGTAGATAGGTAAGTGTTTATAACAATTTTTCTAGTCTTTTAAATTTCTAAAGGGAGTGAGACAGCGTGTAATGTGTATAAAAGTAATATAACTTGATACAGTAGAATCTGCTTAATTCGAACTTCGTTAATTCGAAATCTTCTTTAATTCTAATTTTTATTCTGGTCCCTAGCATTTCCTATATAAGTAATGTTAAAAAGTCATGGATAATTCGAATTATATTTTGGATAATTCTAACTTTTCTACAAGTTAAAAATGCCAATTTCATATGCTGGAAATTTCCTCTAAAAGAGGTAGTATTCTTTTCTGTTCTAACGTGCCACTTGTTTCAAGGCCATTGTACATTGTACCCGTACCTGTCACCTCAATTTTAGCATCGGCACGCCTCTTCAGTTGAGATGCGTTGGCGTTGCAATTGCAATCACCGCAAATAACGTCAAGTCACTTCGTATTGAGTAAAGATGTCGTCGCATGGTAATACGAAAACATACAAAACTTTAAAGTTATCGGAAAAAATAGCGGCGATTAGAGAGGTATAAAAGAGGACGAAGAAAAAAACTGAGATTGCCAGGGACTTTGGAATTCCTCCTAACACATTATTCACCTACTTGAAGAATAAAGAAAAAATTCTCAACAGTGAAAGTGAGTGCGGTAAAGATCGAAAAAGGTTAAGGGAGCCAGAAAATCCAAATTTAGACAGTTGTGTGTTAAAATGGTTCAAACAAGCTAGGGATAAGAAGATTCCCGTAAGTGGTCCTCTTATAAGAAGCAAAGCTGAACAATTTGCTATTGAAATGGGGAGAAATAATTTTAAGCCGAGTACAGGGTGGCTCGATGGCTTTAAAGAACGCAACAAAATTTCTTTCAAATCTATTTGTGGAGAAAGTGGGACTGTTAATCAGCAAGAAGCCAACCAGTAGAAAAAAATTTGGAAGAGATGATTCAGGGTATAGATGAAAGAGATATCTTTAATGTTGATGAGACGCATCTCTTTTTTAAATGCACTCCTGACAAAACGCTAGCATTTAAAAATGAAAAATGTCACGGAGGAAAACTAAGTAAAGAAAGAGTAACTCTCCTAATTGGTGCAAACATGGACGGATCAGAAAGACTACCTCTACTGATGATTGGCAAGTCGGCTAATCCGCGTTGTTTTAAGAACGTCAAGTCAAAACTAGTGGAATATGTGAGTAGCGCAACAGCTTGGATGACTAGTGATCTTTTCGAGAACTAGCTGAAAAAATTAGACAAAAAGTTCATAAAAGAAAAAAGAAAAGTTATTTTGTTTATTGACAATTGTACGGCACACACCACTATCTCACTGATGGAAAATGTAAAAGTTATTTTTTTTCCTGCTAACATGACTTCAGTTCTCCAGCCTATGGACCAGGGTGTCATAATAAATTTTAAACATTTTTACAGACGTTTTTTGGTTGAAAACATAATGATGGAAGATTGCGACACCCTTAAAATAAAGTTAGACATTCTACAAGCATCTCGAAGGTGTAAGAAAGCTTGGGACCAAGTAACACCCAAAGCGATCAAACAATGTTTCAAAAGAGCTGGTTTCATAAAAAAGGAGGAGAACACAGACGACAATTTAACAGAAGAGCTTCTTTCAGTTGACTGCTGGGGGGACATCATTTCTGATCCTGCCATCTCTTATGAAGATTTTGTCAACGTGGATGAAGATGTTACAGTATGTGGTGAAATAACTGATACAGAGATTATCGCTGAAGTGCTTAAGTACAATGATGAAAAACAAGAGAGTGATGAAGACGACGCATCATCAGTTGCGGGAGAAATACATTTTCCGAGTGCGGCCGAAGCAACACACCATATTACGCAACTTAAACGGTACTATGAAAGTAAAAATGATGTAAGTCACTCTATTTTTAATTCACTGAACATCTTAGAATCGTTTGTCATTACTGAGACGTTACATTCTAAAAAGCAGCTAAAAAATTTGGATTTCTTTAGAAAAAATTAGTCTATTAGTCTATTTCATTAATTGTAACAAATATGTATTCTTATTTTCAATAAATTTTTTGAGACAAAATGTTTTATTGTTTTAACGATGCGTTCTCACTGGGAATTTTTTATCTGCCGATTGTTTCGGCTAAGATTTGGCCAAAAATACCAATGAAAAAACCTGCAAATGATAAAAATCGACAATAATTGACCATTTGTTATAGCTTGCAAATGCTTTAATTGGTATTCTGGCCCAATTTTGTTGGCTCATTTTTTTCGGTTGACAAAATTCGGGCAAAAATAGTAACGAAAACATCTGCAAGCCATAAAAATGGTCAACTATTGTTGATTTTTATCATTTGTATATGTTTTTGTAGGCATCTTTGTTTTTTGTGGATATATTTTTAATTCGAATTTTTGGATAATTCGAATATTTGGATAATTCGAATTTTTTTAACGGTCCCGTGAGGTTCGAATTATCCAAGTTTCACTGTATTTTGATATGTTTTAAAAAAGCTTTTTTACTAAAAAGGCTATGTACAGCGTAATCAACTTTTGTGACAAAATTATCTGTTATTATAAGAGATACCAAAAAAGGCAGGTTAAGTTAAAACAAATGCAGCTTATTTAGTATAGTCAGATGCTTTGTTTTAAGTGACTCATCTTCTATCTTATATGCTCCCAGATAATTTACTTCAAGTTTCCTTAGGGCTCAGAGTATATGTATAATTCATCTCAATTTAACACTTTTAAAGAAATTTTCTATGGATACAGTTCTTTAGAAGTATTTTTCATTATCTCATTCCTTGTAAGTCTTCCCAATGTTGTACCATGCTTAAATTTATATTACAGATCTATATTTTATATCGGTTAATAGAATGAATATATGTAAATGCACCTCCCTGAAAATAATTCTGGCGGTGCTCATGAGGACCGGTGCACAATAGGCTCGACTGACAAAACACTTAAAGATAAAGTGAGAAGTAGCCATATTAGGACCCAACATCAAAGAAGTTGTAAAATGGTGTAGGGTCAGAAATGAGCATGGAGAGACCATATTGATAAAATTAATGATAATAGACTTGCAAAAATTGCAAAGGAAGAGAAATCAAACACCAGCAGACCACTTGGAAGACCCCCCAAACACTGGTATGAAAGTTAGATATTGAAATCCCCACTTAGGTTACAACTTTAAAAAAACAAGACATTGCCTTAAGACGAAGAATAATAACTTTTTAGTAACTTCTTTCTTATAGTTATACAGTAAAACCTCCCTTAACCGAAACCTTTTTAACCGAATCATCGTTTAACCGAAACGGCTGACAGTTTCAATAATTTCGTCAATAAAAAGTAAATGTTTATCGCAAAATGTTAATTCCATCAATTTCACTCACCGATTGATGCGTATGTGTGTTGGCAAATCAAAAAACCAAGAGCTCTAAAAGATATTTGAGAAAAAGCACTTCCAGTTTTTTATAGAAGCCAAAAAAGCTCATGGTCGACCACTTTATTTTCAGAATGGTTCGAAAATGAATTCGTCCCAAGCGTAAAATCCTTTTTAAAATAAAAAAAAACCTTCCCATCAAATCATTGTTGCTTGTTGACTCAAAATCTATATAACAGTGATAATTGTCAGATTTTTACCACCGAATGTCACGAGCTTAATTCAGCTGTTAGACCAGGGACTAATAGAGACATTCGAGGGACATTATAGAGGAGCATTCTTAAGACATCTGTTATTACAGGAGACAAATGATTCCAAAAGTGTTCCTGAAATCCTCAAATGTTCAACAATGAAACATGTTGTTTATCGGTGTGCTGAGTTCTGGGCCAAGATCAAATCTTCAACTTTAGAAAAATGCTGGAACTAACTTTTTGATAGGATTTTGATTGACGATCCTGAAGAAAAAAATGACAAAGAAACGACAGAAGAAATTAAATCTTTAATAAAAAATTTGCCGGGATGTGACGAAATTAAATAAGAAGAGATACGTGAGTGGTTAGCAGCCGATGATTTATAAAGTGAATTCATCGACCAGGACATCCTTGATATGGTTCCTCATCTAGACAACCTGAGCGTATCAGACGACGAAGATGACGACCCAACAGACAACAGGCAGCATGAGACCGCTGACGAGATTTTCAATGCTTTAAGGAGAAGAATTTTATACAGTAGGCTTAATATGTTAGGGAAACGACTAGGTTCTTAATTTTTGTTATCATTGTATAAAGTTTTGTCCTTTTCAGATTGCTTTACGTTTCGTCGAACGATGAAATGAGGCAAACTCAAGACGTTCTGCAAATGAACGATGGAGATTAACGTAAAAGAAAATAGAAGATTTCTTTAAAAAGCTTGTTAAACTTGCTCATTTTCCTTAATTGTATTACTTATTAGAAAACATTACAAAATTACCTCATAGTATTATTTAATAACAATACTTTAACCAAGAACACTATAAAAAACAATGTTATTTTTAACCGAAATTATTGTTATCCGAAATGGCCTTCCCCCCCCCCATTATTTCGGTTTACGGAGGTTTTACTGTACTTCTTTTTGAGGCAAAATTGCATAAAACTATCAACATACTCACTGACAGAAAAACTCCCAAATAAAGTCATAAGTTGCCGTATGGTCCCGTTTAAAATAATTTTACTGAATTGCACCCATCCATTATTTTTTATGATTACTTTACTTTACTTCGCCATGCTACAGGTTAATTCCTTAATTTATAAAAAAAATTTGAAAATGATTTTCAGATTGGAAATCGAATCATCAAAAAACAATGTAAAATGTAATTTTAATTACAATCAATGTGTGCTTTAATCGCATATAAATACAACATTTAATAGAAACTCACGTTTAAATTTTCTTTTCAGATTTAATATGCAATCAGGAATTTGGAGGGACTCATATGGAAATCCTAAAGCACACAAATACCCAGTCCGTGGAATTTCAAGTGATACACTCAATCAATTTGTTGTGACAGGAGGGGGAAACGAAATCAAGTTTTGGAGGTTTAAAAATAAAGGTATGAATTTGAACTAGGTTTTAGATATAACAACAAAATGAAAAATTGCAACATAACAAAAAATTCTTATAGCGAAACAAGCAATTGGACTTCGTAGATCCTAGTTTTTTACCCAATGTGACCGGAAGTCCAATCGGTAGTCGATATTTGAACTATTCGTGTAAATTTACGTCGATTGATATACAATTTCACTAATTTTGATTAATTGTTGCCAAATTTCTAATAAATTGTCGATTTCATGTACCATTTCTGCGACTATAATGTGGCACCTGTTAACCGGAAGTGATATAAAAATCGAAAGTATACAGATTGAACGAATTTAAAACGGATCATACAATTTAATATATATCTGTTTGAACTGTATTTGAAATAGTGGACCAATATAAAACTTTGACAAAAATAAATCCATATCTGGTGATAGAGATTGTATAAAATATCGTTCAACTATCTGTCTCCTTTTAGGACGCACCATAGTCTATAGTGCCGCCCAAAGTCAATGTTGCCAATCGATTTGCGGATCTTTTTGAGAGTTATATCTTCTTCGTATCTTTAAATAAATCGGATATTTGCCTATATTTTTCATTGTATTTACCAATCTACTCCTCCTCCCAAGTGCCTTCTCTATTGAGGTTGGCGATCAATATGGCAAATTTCTCTCTGTTCTGGGCTTGACGGATTAAGTCATTCCATCATTCCGTCACACTACAGACTAATAACAAAAATAAACTTGATGGTTTGTAGTTATTTCCTTTCTTTCCTGTAAATATTTTATGGTTAACACCTTATTTGAGAAACATCTAGAGGAATGAGATTGGCAACACCGCTCAAAATATCCATCTGACTGCTTATATAAACCAAAGAGGGGCTTGCCTAAAGCCGGCCACTCACGATACAGCCGCGTTATTCAACTTCGTCGAGTTCGACGAATTGACAAGGATTTTGATCTTGTGTGACCGTGCATCCAATGAAATGGTACAATTTGACCGCAGACAGACTGGCCTGTCTGCTGCAGTACTGCAGAGTTGATCTCATCAATTTGTTGAACGTGTGTGACCGTTTACAATTTGTCGATACTGCAAAAATACATTTTTAACTACACACTTGCTTTGATCATATTATAGAAAATCGACGTGGCTTGATTTAACGAGAATTTTTTAAGAGAGTTTTTTGAATTATATAAAAAACAAGAATGCTTATAGCGAATAAAAGGTAAAACGTATCACGATAGAAATGCCCGAAAACAGGCAATGGACATTCTAGTTTTAAAATTCCAAGAAGTAAACAAAGATGAGAATGAAGAGTATGTAAGAAAAAAAAATTAACAATTTTAGAACATCCTATAAAAGATATACAAGTCAATGTACAAGACAAAAAAGAAAAGGCCCCCAGTGCCCAGCACTTCCCAGAGTCTTGATCACGGCAGCGATCAAACAACTAACGGAAGGGGGGTGCTAAGAATCCCTGGGTAAGACCCGGCTGCCACAAGATGACAATTTGGCTATGCTCCTACAATATTCGAACACTGACGGACGACAATAGATTCTCAGAAATAGAAAGTGAACAAAAGGATATAAAATGGGATATCCTTGGTATATGCGAGACCAGAAGAAAAAGTGATGAGTATATAATACTAAAAAATGGCACACATTTTATGCATAAAGGTGGCGAATACACTGGAGTGGGATTCTTGGTAAAACAAAGCCTCACACAGTGTATCGAAGAATTCAAGCCCATATCAGACAGAGTAGCATATCTCATCATCAGGATTAATAAAAGAACCACTCTGAAAGTGATCCAAGTGTACGCTCCGACCAAAAGCCACGACGATGAAGAAGTAGAAATATTTTATGATGAAATAAGAACAGCTATAGAAAGAAATAAAGCAAATTACGAAATACTATTAGGAGATTTTAATGCTAAATTGGGCAAAAAAGAGGAAGATTATGAACATTTAATTGGTAACTATGGCTACGGGAAAAGAAACGATAGAGGAGAAATGCTTCTCAATTTCATGAATGAACATAACATGTACTCAATGAACTCCTTTTTCAATAAAAAACCAAGCAGAAAATGGACATGGATGAGTCCCGATAAAAAGACAAAGAATGAAATAGATTATATCTTAACGAAGAATAGAAACCTAGTAGAAGACGTATCAGTATTAAATCAGTTTGACCTAGGAAGCGATCATAGACTAATAAGAACAAAACTAGTAATTAACAAAAAACTAGAAAGAAAAAGAATACATGAAAAAAGATACAAATGGACATCTGAAGAAATCAAAAATAGTGAATTTAATAAAAAGATAGTGCATGCATTAAATCAAGTTAGCATGCAGCAGATAAACTCCAATGATATTGATGATTTGAATAACCTTATTACCGAAACAGTGAATAAAAGCCTTCTGCAACTGAAAAAACCGAAAACAACATACAATGAATTAGACAAAGAAATATTACAACAAATAGAAAGAAGGAAGATCTTAAATAAATCTAACAAAAGGGGAACCGACGAATATAGAGAACTTAATAGGCAGATTAGAAAAGGAATCAGACAACAAAAAAGAAAAGAAAACGAAAAATTAATAACAACAACTATTGAACAAAATAAGAGTATGAAATGTCTCAGACCGACACTAGGACGACGTCAGATGATATCATTAATAGGAAAAGACGAAAATGAAATCACAAGTAGAGAAAACATACTGACACGAATAGAAGAATTTTACACAGAACTTTACAGATCACATCAACAAGATGATGAGATGAGACCAGCACGGAAATTAATAAAAAATGTTGGATCAGAAATAATGCCAAAAGTAACAATTTCAGAGGTAACTACAGCATTGGAAAACATGAAGAGAAATAAAGCTGCAGGAGAAGATAGTATTACCACAGATATGATATTAGAAGGAGGTAAGGAACTAATTGCAATTGTAACTAAGCTTGTGGACAGTTGTTTACATCAGGGCAAAGTTCCTAAGAGCTGGAACAAATCTAAAGTAATCTTATTGCACAAGAAAGGTGATAGTCGAAAATTGGAAAACTACAGACCCATCAGCCTATTGTCACACCTGTTTAAAATACTCACCAAAGTCATAACTACTCGACTAACAAGGAAATTAGACGAATACCAACCATATGAACAGGCAGGTTTTAGAAAAGGCTATTCAACTTCCGATCACCTATTAACCACAAAAATATTAATAGAAAAATGTAACGAATACAAGTTTCTAGTTTTCCTTGCATTTGTAGACTACGAAAAAGCTTTCGATACCATAGAACACACGGCCGTAATAAACGCAATGCAAAATTGTAGAATAGACAGCAGATATATTAACTTAATAAAAGAAACTATGAACCAAGCTACAGCTACATACTACCTAAATGAAAATGAACACACGAACCCTGTACCATTAAACAGGGGAGTCAAACAGGGAGATACTTTATCACCCAAACTGTTCACCTTAGTTTTGGAGGACGTTTTTTAAAAACCTAAATTGGAAATATAAGGGAATAAACATGAATGGCCGCTACCTCAGTAATCTACGATTTGCAGATGACATAATCCTGATAGCTACTGACCTACAAGAAATGCAAACCATGCTTGTAGAACTTCATACCGAATCTTCTAAAATAGGACTGAAAATGAATTTAAACAAAACAAAAGTCATGCACTCCGAAGACACCGTGACAATAATAAACGATAAAGTTATAGAAAAAGTTGAAGAATATATATACTTGGGACAAAAAATAATCCTAAATAGGGAAATTCAGACTGAAGAAATAAAAAGAAGAAGAAAGTTAGCTTGGGCAGCATTCGGTAAACTGAACTATATACTCAGAAATCAACAAATTCAATTACATCTTAGATCTAAAGTTTTTGATGCATGCATTATTCCGATATTAACTTATGCGGCACAAACATGGACAATCACAAAAAAGAATATGAATATACTTAGAGTCACTCAACACGCGATGGAAAGAGCAATGCTAGGTATATCACTTAAGGACAAGAAAACAAACACATGGATAAGACAGAAAACCAAAGTCACCGATGTTGTGCAAAAAGCATTAAAGCTGAAATGGGAATACGCTGGACATGTAGCTAGGAGCGATCTAAACAAATGGCACAGATCAATTTTAACCTGGAGACCATACCAACACAAAAGACCCAGAGGCAGACCTCCTATGAGATGGACAGATGATCTGAAAAGGACTGCCGGGAAAAATTGGCTACAAGTAGCGTACAATAAAAAACAATGGAAAGGAAGACTTGAAGAGGCTTATGTTCAGATGTGGACGTGAATGGCTAGACGAAGAAGAAGAAGAAGAAGATAAAAGATAATTAAAATTAGCATTGCAGTCCAGTAAATCGGGTGCAGGGGTAGACGCGATTTATTTTGCACCAAAATCTTGGATTCTTTGCACCAGAATCTACGTTTTATTTTAGGTTTCTTTTAAAGCTTAGTTATACACAAAGTAAGAGACGCTAAAATGATCGTTTGATTTGACAACCGACCAAATCCTGCGGCGCAGTATGGTGTGTGGGCCCACCAGATATACCAACAAATTGAACAACGCCGCTGTCCGATTATGTGGAACGACACCGCTGTACTGTGAGTGTCCGGCTGGAATCGATAAGTGGTTTGACAGCATAATAAAATCCTAGATTTATGTGTAGCTTTCAATTTTTATACGTGATGGGCGGGGCAACCTATTTGGGTGGAGTTTTGACTTGTTCTTGAATGAATTCAGAATCCAGCAGCCCGCTGAAGTATTGGATTTTTATAATATAATTATTTGACAACCTTTTGTTGGGCAACCACCTAGAGTGGAGTTGAGCGGAAACACATATATTTCGTATGTTCCGAATTTATCTCGTTCAATCTGTATATTTGTTCTCGTCTTGTTAAGGCGCGTCGAATAATATATCGCTTATACTATTTCGCCGACTTTAAAATAGTACTTACGGTTCTGTCCACGTCTGATAACCTTTAT